TGGGGATGGATCTGAGGATCCGTGGATGGCAACCCACTCAGACCCATGGTCACGAGACCATCGATGGCAAAGCAGTGGCTGCAGGCGGGAAAGCTGGGAGACAAACAACGACCAATGGCAATGGGCTGATTGGTCTCAGTCGTGGTCTTCATGGAACTCATGGGATGCTTGGGGATCTCACCGACCGACATGGCTCGACTGGCAGTGGGGTGCTCGTGGGCAACCTTGGTGGGCAGCGGGTGCTCATTGGGATCACGGGCATGCGGGACAACCTGTAGCTGCTAGTCGGGTTCGAGACCATGATCATGCCGCCCGTGAACGTTCGGGTGTTTGTCAGGTACCTGGTCCTTTTGGGGAAGAACCTCAAGGTGATGTTGGTCTTCATGGTGAAGGTGGTCGTCCTGGTCCGGAGGTTTCGTGGTTCAATGACGCCAAACTCGATGAGAGTCTAGAGTACAATCCTGCCGCATGGCCCCCAGGGACCTGGAGCCTCCACAAGATGAATGAGGGAGATAACGATGAAGAGCCCAATCCACCACCAAATGCGTTGACTCCCACTCCAGTGAAAAGTACTTCCCGGACCTCCACGTCTACTACACCTTCTTCTAGGAAGATCCCTAGCACCTATCCTCCGTCCTTCAGCGCCTCTCCCAGCGAGAGCTACTTAGAATGGAAGAGGAGCGTGCAGTGCTGGATCGCTGGTGAGGGAGGCCAGCTTCCAGAGGATGTGATGGGTCCTCGGTGCCTCTCGGTTTTGAAGGGTCGGGCTTCGGTCATCGTTCGTCACCTTCGCATCGAGGACGTTAGCCAGGTTGGGGGTTTAGAGCTGGTGTTCAAAGCCCTTGAATCAAGCCCCATGGTGAAAGAGCTTGATGGGCAGAGGGGAGAGAAAGCACAGAGGGAATTTCTTCGCTGCCGGCGTCAAGCCGGCGAATCCATGGAGTCCTTCATCATGCGGGTCCAAGCCCAAAGGGCTGTCATGGAGGAAGAGGACTCCACGTTTGCTGTTGGTGATCGGTTTTTTGGTTGGCTATATCATGGACAATGCTGAACTGACCTTGAAGGACAGGGTGATGGTTTTGGCTGCCGCCCAAAATCAAATGAGCTCGGAAGCCATTTTTCCGGCCTTGCGACGGATGGGACCGTTCCTTCAGGGGACCGTTCCGATCGGCAAAGGTGTTTTGGACGCCCCTTTGTTGCCTGAACTGCAGCCGGATTTGTCTCAGGGTTCCTCCAAGACTCACGCCGCCGATGGCGGCGGCGGCAAAGAACACCGACGACCTTGGCAGCCGTTCAAGGCCCATGTGGTAGAAGAAGCCAGCGGCTATAGTGGGCCTGACGATGATGAGTTTGAAGAGCTTTCCGCCGGTTGGCACATTCCGGAGGAATTGGAGTCAGCGACCCATGCGGCCATGGCAGCCTTCTCGGCCAGCCAGGCCAAGCTGCGGGCCTTGAAGCAGGCTCGTGGGTACTTCCAGAAGACAGAGCCGGCAGTCCAACCTGATCGGCGTGACAGGCTCAAGAAGCTGATGCAGGAGAACCCCTGCAGAGGATGCGGTGGCTATGGTCATTGGAGCAAGGATCCGGAGTGCCCCAAGAATGCCAAGAGCTCGTCCGCATCGTTGGTGACCACCCCAGCTATGTCATCTTCCACTTCTCCTGAACAGCCGCAGCAGCAGTCAGAGCATGCTGCCATGAGTGCAGTGTCAGAGCAGATGATGCGTGATCAGCATCAGTCGTCCGCTCGCGTATATATGGCTGGTGTGGTTGGTGGGGAGGAAGGGCAAGGCACTATTCCATCAAGTTCATCTACCCCCGAGGAATTTGTGACCCTGGTCAATGCCAATGCTGCAGGGGATTTGTTGGCTAGTCGCATGGTTGTAGATTTGGGTTGTTTGAGGACAGTGGCTGGAGTACAATGGGTCGTACAAGAGGTTTCTCGGTGTCGTGCTCACGGTCGCTTCGTGGCGGTGAAGAAGACCCTTGATTATTTCAGATTTGGCGATGGGGAACGGAGACCTTCACACTATCGGGTGTTCATGGAAGTGGGGATAGTCAATCATGTGGGCCTTCTAGCCATCAATGCTGTGGAATATCCTTGTCCTCCATTGTTATCCAAAGGTGTATGTTCGGCTCTGGGTTTGCATCTCGATTGCGGTTCCGGCCGTTTTGATTTGGCCAAGTTGGGTGTGCAGTCACAACACTTTACAACATCGTCGGAAGGACATTTTTTGTTGAGTATTGATTGTTTTCACCCTTCGTGGCCTTCGTGGCAGACATTGTTGCAAGCCGGACATGTGCCTAAGATTCAGCATGAAGAGATTCAGTGTTTTGAATTGCGTCAAGGGGTGCCTGTTGGAAGGGGTGCTCGCCGCGCGCGTGCCCACAGCTCTCCATTAGAGCGCTCTTCGGTGAGTGATCCACGGAGTGGCCCTTCCCGTGGTTCAGCGACTTGTCCCTCTCTCTGTGCTCATGGCTCAGCGTCGGCGCCCGGCCGCGGCTTCAGCTGCGCCGCCCCAGACCATCCCACTCACGGACACAGAGGAACCGGATTGGGGCTCCGAGATCGAAGCGTTCGAGGAGGTCTCTCTGCATCGGAAGTCGTCGAAGGGGACGCGGCTGGATGCATCCATGGAGGAGGAGGAACAAGCCAGCAAGAAGGGCGCCAAGAAATCCAATGTCCTCACGAAGGAGGTCAAGGAGACCGAACAGAGCACGACCAAGGGGAAGGTGAGCACCAAAACCATCTCCAAGAAGGAACAGCTCATGGCCATCACCGGCCTCAATGCCGAGTTTCCAACGCTGGGGATGACCTTGAGTGCAGACCCGGTCCTGAACATGAGCTGGACCATCCATGGCCGCCTTCTAGTCCACAAGTGGAAGCAAATGGTGTGGATGCTGAGGGCTCGAGCGGCTGTCACAGCGGAGGGGCGCCAGTATCGGCGTCACCCGCGCTGGCTAGCAATGATGTTTGCTCGCGAGGTGGCGGCGCTGTGGGGGCATTTGGGCGGTGCGACGCGGACGCTGCAGGGGCCTCGCGGACCGCCGCTGATGAAGTGACGGGGGGGTTCTGAGCCGAAGCCTGACACTGTCCGGCCTACATGTCGACCATGGAACAGAGGACAGGTACAGAGATTGAGACACTGCCTCAAACAAACAAAGCAAGCAATTTCTCATTTGTCGTTAGTGGCCAAATGCAGTGATCAAGCGACCTGGAAGGTATTAGAGATTTTTGGCGGGAGCGCCAACTTGTCATTGATCGCCCGATCCACCGGCAAATGGGTAGCGCTGGAACCGGTTGATTTGATGTATGGTTCGGACCTGTTGAGTCCCAAAGAGCAACGTGTTGTTTTGGATCAATTGCATGAATGGGAACCAGATCTTGTTTGTTTGGAGCCGCCTTGTGGTCCATGGTCTTCATTGCAAGCTATCAATCCCAAGGAGACAGTTGAACTGAAACGTGCTTTGCATATGCCATTTTGGTACTTCTCAGCCAAAGTCTGGAAAGTGCAACATAACAGTGGTCGTCTTGTTCTTTTGGAGCAGCCGCTGAAGAGTGCGGCTTTGCATCTAGAGTGCATGCGTTCTCGAGCTTCAGTCCATCGAGCCGTGGTGGACCAATGCCAGTTTGAGTTGAGGGACCCACAAAGTGGCAAACGATATCGCAAACGGACAGCATTGGACGTCAATTCAGAAGTGTTTGCATCAGCCCTGATGGTTGGGGGACTTTGTTCACATGCTTCTCATGAACATGAAACCATTGAAGGACAAGTTCTTTTAGATGGGAAGTGGGTCAACCGGTCCTTAGTGGCGGGAATGTGGACGCCATGTTTTGCACGGCATATTTTGTCTTGCGCTGCCCTCGCTCTCCAACATGCGACATGCTGGCAACAACGGGTCCAGGGGGTGTGCTCCTTTGTAGCCGACTTTGAAGAGGGCTTGGACTGTGCAGAGTGTCTCGTGTTTTTGACCACGTCCCATCGTGCCTTGGTGTGTTCATCCGAGGGGTGCTATGAAGTGGGGGAGTCATGGTGTGAGCGGTGCAAAAAGGGGTGGTGCAATCAATGCATGGGTCATCATGGTTGTGATGTTCGTGATGAAGTGTTCAAACATGAAGAACCATGGGGGGAAACCATGTGGACTTGGCAAGAAGCCAATGCAGCCGATGAATGGGCTGCTCTAGGGGCCACCTCAGAGGAGCTCCACACTGACTTAGCCATTCAGCAGGCTTTTCGACAGTTGCAGCGAGAGGAAGATGAGCGGAAGGGCGACTTTAGTGGGATGGGCAGTCGCTATGGCTACTGCAAGTTCGTAGGCCCTTCGCTTCGTGTGAACAAGTCAGTGAGGAACCAGGTGGCCAAGCTTCATGCCAATTTAGGCCACCCGTCAAATGACCGACTGGCCAGGATGCTCAAGCTGCAGGGTGCTCGTACTGAGGTTGTGCAAGCCGCACGTGACCTGAGGTGTGAAGTTTGCTCTCGCATCCATCCTCCTTTGTCAGCGCCCAAGTCTTCGGCTAAGGCACCAGAACGATTCAATGAACATTGCTCCATGGACTCCTTTTTCATTTTGGACGCCGACAACCAACGGTGGAGTGTGACCCATGTGGTGGATGGATTCTGTTCTCTTCAGTATGCCATTCTTTCCAAGAACCCGTCATCACAAACTAGCTGTTCAGTTCTTTTTGATCGCTGGGTGATGGTTCATGGCCCCATGAAGAAGTTGTCCGTGGACGGAGGGCCTGAGTTTCGAGGCCGTTTTCCTTGCTTGTGCCAGCTGTATGGCATCGAATTGAATGTGTTGCCCACGTCGGCCAAATGGAAGGCCGGCCTGGCGGAGAGGCATGGGGCGATTCTCAAATTGATTTTGCTGAAGATGGTCCATGAACTGGTGCTGAATAAGGAAACGTCCTTAAGCTATGCTCTTGCTATGGCAGTCCAAGCCAAGAACAGATTGTCCCGACGTTGTGGGAAATCCCCCATCCAAGTGGTCCAGGGTCGCGATCAAGTGATCCCATCCTCGCTGGTAGAACAAATTGATCGAGCAGAAGTACAGTTCGCCACCAATAGCCAACTGTTGGAGGTAGAAGAACACCAAACGATGGAACGCATGCGGCAAGAGGCCGCCTCAGCCTTTCACTGGTTGGACTCTCATGAGCGTCTGCGGGCAGCCCTCAACGCTCGTAGCAAACCACCTCATCTGAAGGCGGACTCCTTGCCACCTGGTGCCATCGTGTACTTCTACAAACAATCAGGACAAAATAGGCGACTTCAAGATTTTGCTGTAGGCTTTCAAGGTCCGGCAGTTGTCGCCTGCGCTGATGGTCCTGATCGGGTGTGGTTGCGCTTCAAGGGTTCAGTGGTCCGTGTGGCTATTGAGAATGTGCGACTTGCGACTCCTGAAGAAGAGTTAGGACCTAGTTTCATCATGGATGCCTTGACCGACCTGGAGAAAGAGCTCACTGGCAACAGGCGGGCGCCTGGCTACGATGACGAAGAAGATGTGGGTAATTCTGAGGCCGGCGTTCCGGGGTCTGGTGATCTTCCTTCCGGCGTCCCCAGCGAGACGCAGTTCCTCTCAGGCACGACGGGGATCGACCCGAAGGGGGAAGTCCAGACTGCCGGTCCGTCTACCTCAGAGCCTTCAGCTCCCCTGGTGACACCTGAGATGGTGGAGCTGGTCAAGGAGTCGGCAGACCGGGCTCGTGCTTTGGATGGCCTTCCAAGAAAGTTAAAGCCTCGACCAAGTCCATATCCTGTTTCAGTGCCAGAGAAAATCGCCTTCTTTGAAAAGGGAGGACAAGACGATTGGAAGTCCATCCTTCATGACATTGATGAGCGGCAACCTCTCAAATCAGGCCTTCAACGTTTGGCTGCTGAAAAGGACTTGCAAGAGCTGGATGCAGCCATAGACTGGGGGCTCAATGAAAGCGCCCGGCAACGTGACAATGGTGGAGAGCCGATGACAAAGGCACCACGGGTAGATGGAGGAGACCCTCCCATCGAACCTGGAGTTAGTGCCTTGGCTCCTATGGTGGCAGAGGCCAAGATGGCCTTAGAAGCGTGGGCCTTGTCGTCAGCCTCAAGTGATGTGGAAAAACAACGCATGAGTGAAATGATGGAAGAATTTGACAGACAGCAGATGGAGCTAGAGCGAGGTCACCGAGCTGGACCTGAACCTGGAGCTCGAGGGGAAATCTATCTCAAAGACATGACCCCGACTGAGGTTCGCCTGACTATACCAGCTTTGGTGAAAGCTCTGGACATTCACTTCCAGTATGAAGCAGTTGAGCCTGTTCCACTTGACACGCCCATTGCCAAGGAATCTACACTTCAGAGCCGTTTTGTCATTGTCAACAAGAAATGGCTTCAACGGTTGTTTGGTCCCAAGGGGCGGCTTTGTGTAGGTGGTCATCGAGATCCCGAAGCAGGAGAATATCCGACCTCTTCGCCAACCGCTCAGCTTCTAGCACACCACTTGCTTTTGATCATCATGGTAGGCAAAAGATGGAAGGGTTATGGTGGAGACATCACTGCAGCCTTTTTGCAAGGGGAGCCTTTACCTCGTGACAAACCACTGTACATTTGGCTCCCTAAGAAAATGCCTTCAGAAGTCAACCAATACCTTGAGGGCAAGTTGCAAGGGTTTCGTACCGACTTGGTCAAGGTGGTGAAGGGGGTCTTCGGCCTCAATGAAAGCCCTAGATTGTGGTATCTTGGACTTCGGCGACATCTCAAGGAGCTGGGTTTCCGTGAGTTGACTTTAGCCCCTTGTGTTTTCGTTCTTCATGTGAAGGGAGTACTACAAGCCATGGCCACCGTGCACGTGGACGATTGCCTCATGGCTGGCAGCCCAGACGTTGAGCAAGTCTGGACAGAGCTGAAAGGCCGGTTGACCTTCGGCAGTTGGACACCTATGGTAGATGGCATCAAGTTTCTCGGTCGACACATGAAGCAAAATGAGGAAACCTTTGAGGTTGTCTCTGACATGGATGAGTACTGCAGTGATTTAGAAGAAATTCCGTTCGATCCGCAGGTAGCAGACAACAAGCCTCTTCTACCTGATCAAGTAGCTTCTCTGCGGTCTTGTGTGGGGAAGCTAAGTTGGGCTGTTCGTCAAGGGCGACCAGATTTGCTCTTCCTAGTGTCTTGGCTTCAACAGAGCTTCAAGGAACCAACCACCAAATTGCTTCGGGTTGCCAACAGTGTAGTAAGAGCTTTGAAAAAGCCACAAAGCCTTTCATTTGTGCACCTTGGTTGTCCTTTAGAAGACATTCTCTTCGTGGTCTCTTCAGATGGAGCTTATGGAACGATGCCGGATGGCAAATCTCAGCAAGGCTGGATCATCGGGGTGGCTAACCCCACCATAAAGCATGGTGGAGCTCGCATGAATCTGGTTGAGTGGCAAAGCACAGCGTGCAAACGCGTTGTGCGTTCATCAATGGCCATTGAGGCCTGCGCGGCATCGTTGGCTTTCGAACATGGTGAATATGTTCGGGCATTGTTCGGCGAGATCATGTGCCCGGACTTCGAGGTCAACAGGTGGGGACACTTCATCAGGCTGTGGGAGCTCATCCTTGTGCTTGACGCCAAAACGGCCTTTGACACACTCCAAACGGAGAGCTTGCCGCAAGACCGGAGGACAGCGCTAGACCTTTTGGCCATCAAAGAATCTCTCTTGGATCAATCCAATCGTGCTCTTTGCCGTTGGGTACCAGGACCCCAGCAGATTTCAGACAGCTTGACCAAAGAAAAGGGGAACAAGATCCTGTCCGACTTTTTGTCAACCAACGAGTGGAGTCTCCGTGAAGATACTGCCTGGCAAGAACAACGGTCTCGCCAGAGAGCTACTCAAAAGGAGTACAAGGTGAGAATGAAAGCTCAAAGAGCAGCAGGCGGCAAGGGGGTCCCCGGGTGAGTCAAACCGTCACTCATTCGGTTCGTTGGACGTTTGCATTTCCTTTCACTGATGGCGCATCATAGCCGCCTACTTCTCGAGTGCCCATGACAGAAAAGGGCTGCTTGTCCGTCCGTTCTCCACGCCACTTTGAGTAGTTTTTTGTGCTCTGACCTCCCTCAGCGACGGATGTAGCGATCAACGACTTCAGATCTCGAAGCAGCACGGAGTGATCAACTGACACCGTGCTGCAGTGATGACACCGTGCTGCCCTTGTTATCAAAATAGGGAGACCGAACTCCCAGGCGTTCCAACCTCCTGGAAGCTTGGGAAAAAATCGTCTTGATTGCTTGGGGTCTCGGAACAATGCACACCCAAATGACATCAAAGGTCCGCAGTCTCCGTTGGGATTGAACATCGTCCACGCGGGCTCTTCCACTTCTGCACTGCTCTTGTGGAAAACGATCTCCGCCAAATCCTTCACCTCCTTCAGCAGCTCCTGGACTTGCAGCTTCAGTGCAGAAAAGGCGTCCAAGGACGCCTGTGAAGCATCAAAGGACTTGCCAGGGCAACACTTTCCAGTCAACATGGGACCTACATAGTTGAAATTGATAAAAACGTTGCATGAAAACCACAAATACATCCACAACATATAGTAGAATATGGTAGAATTTGGTAGGCTACACCTGCCAAAACATCCTGACATCCTCCCCAACCGACACGCTTACTACTTCATCCCTACTCCCCCTCCTTGACACTCCACTTCTCCAGGAAAGACCTGAACGCCCCGAACCACATGAACCGCGCAGAACAAACCCGCTTGGAAGAAGACCGCGTGTCCTCCAAGTCTTCCATGCGTTGCGTGTCCGCAAGGGTGGCCACCGGGAGGACTTTGATGGGGTAGCGTCGATCAATCTTGAGCTCTTGCCTCGGAACGGTATCGAAGAAAATGGTGAGACAAAATATGTCATGCGGTAGAAACGTTGGGTCTTTCGTTGGGGGTTGGTGGTGGCAGTGTTTCTCTCTGTTTTCTTGGCATGCGTCATGCGACGGCAAATGTTCCAGAAAAAGTGACAACGCTAACTCCCCCCATCCTCACCTCCCATCCCTCGGTACCTTCAGTATACCTCGCCGCCGAGCGACAGCTCCTGGCTCATCTGCTCCGCCTGCCGCCGGAAGGCACGGAGCTGAGGCAAGGAGACGCAGAACAGCAGGATGTGCGGCGTGTACTCCGAGACCAGCCTCGGCGTGTGCTGCGTGCTGCTCCCGATTCGCGGGAGGATTCCCAGGCGTAGCAAGGTGTTGCAAGGTAACTGCAAGCAGTGTTCCTTTTTCGGTTGAGATGGGTGTAGCAAGGTGTGTTGTTCCCAAACTTTCTGCGGTTGAGATGGGTTCCGGTGGAGATGGGTTTCCGTGCCACCGTGCCACAAGCAGGGATACTCTTGGTTCGACTCTTGGTGGATGAAACATGGCTGAAAAACACACATCTAACTTCTGTTTAACACACGGCTCCGGCCCACACGAAGTGTGGGGAATGTCGCTTGTTTGCCAACTAGCTTTTTACGTGTATAGCCGTTGGTCTTGGACCTCGACAAGACCTGTATAGCTTCTCACACGCCTCTACTCCAGAGATAGGGTGGGGCATGCAGCTCTGCACTTCTGTTTAAACATGTGGTGGTGGTAGATCGTACTGTTGATGTTTCATGGGTCAGCATCTGCTGCATGCCCCCCAGCATGTCAAACAGCGAGGCCTCCCAGCATGTCTGAAGAATTCTGAAGCACGTTGGGTGTAGTCCATGGAGTCAATCAGAAACCACAGAAACATCAGAAACGTTTCAAGCGTTGAGGGCGGATATTGTTGTGCCCATCTTGAGGCATCACCCATGATGCCTCAGCCCATACATACCTGTCAATCCGAAAAGAAACACGACGTCCTTCTAGTCAAGACGTCCAACTCTTCCGGACCTAAACGGACCTTCGCCGGAGCCATCAGCTTTTTTCTAACCTACCCCAAACGCTCCACGGGACTGGCATATTTACCTACATTGGGGTGGTGCCAGAGGGGTCAATGTAGGCAAATATTCCATACATGGAGTGTCTGGGTACTATAACATCTATAACCTACTGACAAAATCTGACAAACTGAACCTGCTGAATGTCGGTTGAATAGAAATGGCTCACATGTCATTAAAAAAAAAAACTGAAAAAGATTGAAAAAGCATCCGCAGAAGCTAATGACCAAGTGAGCAGCTGCCTCTCTTGCAGGATCCTCTTGTACTCCTCAGCTGAGCTTGGTTGTGCTCGCTTTGCCATGTTTGTCGTGCCATTTAGTTTGAATGTATCGTGAACCTGGTGATTCTCGCCAGCGTCATGCCAAAGAAAACACCAGAAAAAGAGTCCAACATAACCAGAAACATGACAGGGACGTGAAACAACCCACACAAACAACTCCTTCATAGTTCTGATCTCCAAGACTAAATGATTTGGAACCAAAGCTTCAGACTTGATCTCGCCCGCCGTCTCACTGCTCCACCCAGGTGTGTCAATCAGCACACTGCACAAGTCGGGCCAGTCGGGCGACAAGTCCTCCAGGGTCAAGTCGCAGCTGTGGGCCTGGGGTGGTGACAGGTCCAGTCACATGTGATTTCCCAGACACGACTAATGGGACTGCCATATATATGCCGATCAGGCCAGGGGTGGTGCCAGGGGGGTCAATGGGGGCGGCATGTATGGCATATGTGGAGTGTCTGGGTTTTGGGATGCTGAAGCATGTGTTCACCCTAAACCGGCCATCACAGGTTGGTCATTCGGGTTGGTTGCATGAAAGTTCAGGGTCCTTCGGAGCAACGTTGCTCTATCTTTTGGTGGCTTGGATTCCAGAAAGAGTTCAGAAGTGGGAAAAGGGATTCAAAAGGTTTCAGAGGAAATGCTCATGGGTAAAAAGGTTTCTTCTCCTTATTCACTCATGCTCGTTTGCTCTTTTGGAGGATCCAGGTCATCCAACTAGCCCCTCGAGTTCTACAGGAAGTAAGGCTGCGGCATGCGTCCCAACAGTTCCGGCTCCCACTGCGCCCGGGTCGTGCCGCGCCCGAAAGCGCGCCCGGCACCCTGGGTCTCGTTCCGCGCCACGTCGTTCGTTCCGCGTGCGCCGAAGGGGCGGAAAGAAGCGAAGTGGAGGACCGGTTTCAGAGGCGAGGCACGTAGTCAGGTGGTGAACATATCCCCATCTGTCGGACATCTTGGGGTGACAGTGCGAACCACTGAAAGCCATGTACCCCTTGCCTCATGTCTGCTGTTGGCTACTGGCTCCCGGTTTGTCTGGAGTTCACTTTAAATTTAGTAGAAGCCTGTCTGGGGAGCTGTATGTAGCAACACTAACGAAGAATCGGATGAATGTTGGAGACATGTTGCTCTGAATGGACTGCGTGCTGTCCCGAGCGGAGTTCGGAGCTCCCACCCATGCATGAACCAATGATGGGTGCCAACTACGTTCTTGGACAGTTAGCTCAGGTTGGTTTTTCCCTGCGAATGTTTGGATCCACACACGGTCAGAAACAGCTTGGCGCCTTTCCTTCCCCCAACCACAACGGTTGTTTTGGCTATAGATTCCGTGAGTTCCCAAGCTGAAATACATTCCAATGAAAGGCTCTTCAGCTCCAACTGGGCACGAACGGCACTTGGCCGTCACAGGCCTCGAAGTCGGCTCGGCCGATGCTCCCAAGTGGCCCTGGTGGTCTGGTCCTCCATCCGCGGACCCGTGTGGAAGTGTGCGCCGCACAAGCCTGGCGTGGGGTGGGCCAACAGCTTTCTTGAGGAACGTGTGACCGAACTTGGAAGTCCATAACCCAGACACGACCTGTCTCCCAGAGGTCGACCCCCCTGGCACCACCACCCCTGGCCGTTTCTCGGCAGTGCTATGGCAGTCCCACTGGCAGTCCCATTAGTCGTGTCTGGGTAATCAAGTGACATTTTCGAGGTTGGTGACGTCGAAGCAGGGGGGATCAAAGGTATCACTTTGAAGAACTATAGGGAGAACAATGGAACGAACAACCTCTTTTGCTGAACAAACGTTGCCGCAATCCACAACTAGGGTGATTGTTCAAACCCACAACTCTATGAAAAGCCGTGGCTTCTCTGATTCAAAGAATGCACCTGATTCAACACATTGTGAGCCTCTTCACCGTTCTACATATGTTCCAAAAACCCGAAGCTTGGTGAACCTGGACATTGCTGAACCCGGAAAAGCGGAAACAGCAATCTCCAAATCAAAGAGTGACAAAAGAAAACGATCGATGAAGCATTCCCCAGACACTCCATGGGACTGCCATATATGCCGATCAATTGGTGTGGTGACCGGGGGGTCTTTCTGGGGCGGCAGTCCTATGGCAGTCCCAGACAGGTCGTGTCTGGGTTAAGCAGAACATGGACCAAGGCACGATTCACCAGCGTTGTCTTCCCCACGCCTGATGGCCCAAGAACCACGCAGCCGTGGGTGAGGAGGTAGCGCTCCACGGGCATCATGAGGTCTTGGAAGAAGTTGGCTTGGGCTTCGAGCACACGAGTGTCCTGAAGAGCTTGTTTTAGGGATGGAGATGGGATGGGGATGGGATAGGATGGACACTTAAGTAGTCTAAGTGGAGTGCAGGCTGCAAGTGCCTCTCGGCTCTGAATCGATGGATCTTTCGACCTCCCATTTCATCGCCTGTCCCCCGGCAGGATGGCAGGGACGAGAAACGGATCCAACACTTGAGCAATGTTGACTTGTTCTTCTTGAGTTCCCCCCCCCCTCTAACCCACCATGGAATTGGGCAAAACGACATAGAAAAGGACTGCTGCCTCTTCAGCCTCAGCGTCTTGAAATCCACACGTCACATGTCGCCGAAGCTCCTGAGCTCGAAAAAGAACATCAAACAAGCTGTGTTCTTGGGCACCAGCTGTGGCGGGACACTGAATGTCAGCAAGCTGTTTACTCGTGTTTGTCGCCAGGAGGATCGATATTCAAATGTCAACGTTAACGATAACTGTCTTAACAGCTAGGTATCCTAGTCTTTCAGGTTTGTCACTGACGTCTCTGTTTCGGTTTCCGGCTGGTTCATTTTTTACAGGCCGCTCACAAAGACGGAAACTCTCCGTCTCCCCAAGTGAGACGTAGCCCCTGGGAGTCCCAAGATCGGCCATATAGGATGTGACTAAAAACACAAACAAGCACGAGCATAATAGATATTGACCACAGTGTGTCATGACCATATAAATATAATTAGCCACTCTTAGCCAACGTACATGATGCCAGAAATGCCTATGACGCTCGACTTCTGCTCCAGAAATACGCTTCACTAGCCACTATAACAAACACAGGCAATCGCCCGCTCGACCAAGCGATTTTTCTCTGGCCGTTGTCATCCGTCTCTAGTGGCTCAGCTAAGGCTTTTTCACACGAGCGGGTCATAAAAACAAAGGTATTCCAATGGACCCTCGCAGGAGATTCTTTTGGAACATCGGACGCTTAATTTAGAGAAGTCAAACACATACAGTAATTTATATGAATCAATGGCGGCATGAATGATACCGTACTATACCTCAAATATAGTAACGACATGTAACGACTCTAACGTAACAAAACGTAAAACATGTTGTGCCTCTTCCTTCAAAGACTGTCGCCCCCTGCCACAAGCGCCCGCCCCGAACCCATCCCACTAAGGTTCCGCCAGCAGCGCAGGAACCAGGGGGACGGCCTCAGGGGCGCCTCCAGCGCCGTCGTGGGGGACGGCACCAGGGGCCACTCCAGCGCCGT